TTAATATCACTCCAGTCAGCTGTCACTTTTGGTTCTGATTAGCAGTTAAACGGCAGGTCATCCTCCGATAAACTTAAACGGACGTTTACCGACAGATGTGCCCTAACCGGACATTCAGAAAACACTTTTTCAAACAGTTTCGATTAACTTCTGATTAAACGCCTAAACAGACTTTGAGTAACCGGCCCATAGACAGCATGGCTTACTGGTGTCAAGTAAATCTTATGCCTCTAAATCTTAAGAAATGTAAAGTAATGAGCTTCTCCCGCTTCTTATAAAATAGGTAACCATAACCTGGAACAGGTATACAATTTTGTGGACCTTGGTATTACAATGGATCCTAAGCTTAATTTTAATCTTCATATTAATGTGACAGTCAACAAGGCTAAAGGTGTACTTGCATTTGTGAAACGATGGTCAAAAGAATTTTGTGACCCTTATATCACTAAAACCCTGTTTACAACATTAGTTAAGCCAATTCTGGAATAGGGTTCGGTGGTTTGGAATCCAAGGTATCAAATTTACTCAGACAAGATAGAATAAATTCAAAAACCATTCCTACTTTTTGCTTTAAGATATTTCCGTTGGGATTCTCAATATAACCTTCCACCTTATACGAGCCGATTAAAACTTATTAATCTTCCTACACTTTCCAGCCGCAGGCAAATGCTTGGTACAATTTTTATAGTTAAATTACTAACAGGCTCAATTTCAAGTCCGCTTCTTCTTGGCGAAGTTAGCCTTAATGTTCCCTCCCGGGTATCAAGACACTTTTGCCCCCTATTTCTGAAAGCTTGTAAAACTAATTTTGAATTGCACGACCCACTCCGTTGCTTATGCCAGGATTTTTACTCTCATTCCAGCACGTTTGATATATCAGATCCGCTTTTCAGCATTAAGAAATCAATACTGTCCTCTCACAATAAATGAGTCATTAAAATAAAGACATAAAATCGGCTGATGAATTTAGTTCTGTAACTGAACAATTTTAGATGTCGACACTTAACAAACTCCTGCCTATCGGGACTCGGCGCAAAAATTGAAAATACTGATTCCGTACGTCATGCGGACTGCGCCCCTCGTGCGGATGGGCGGGTATGGGGGGTAAAAACAGTTGGGATTACTATTATTATAGTAGTTTTTATTATACTACATACATACATATGTATGGGGACTAAACCAGGAATATTCATTTGAAAATGCTAATGTACTACTCATTTATGAAATGAAAGACAAAGTAATGATTTTTATAAATATTATATTCTCATTTATACATATGTAACATAGTTACTTAGCCGCCCCTTACACATTGAAAAAAAGTAAAAAAAGCTCTCAAAAAAGCACAATCGCTACAGCGAAAAAAGTGTTCGAAAAAACGCATAAATTCAAATCCGCATAAAAAAGAACCGCATAAAATAGACCTAAGTGTATAAGTTGAAATTTTATAAGAAATTATTGAACATTAAAAAAATTATACCTACATAGATATGTATGCGAATATGTGCCTACCGAGTAGATAAAACTGGTCAAAATATCACGCATCTATTCTTCTGTGCATGAGAATATATACATAAATAAATTAACATTAATAAATTAATGAATTAACATCCTATATCTCAAAAGCATTTAGTGAAGGCAAAACTGTTATGTTATATACACTTAGGCTCTTTTTATGCGGATTTTTTTTTATGCGGATTTGAATTTATGCGGTTTTTCAAACCTTTATTTCGCAGTAGCGATATTGCTTTTTTGAGAGTTTTTGTTACTTTTTTCAGTGTGTAAAAACAATGCTTCTGATAAGTAATTTGTCTTTGTATTCTTACATAATAATAATAATAATCCGGGAACGGATTTTATGGAAATTGCCTTTTTTTCTGCTAAAGAGATAGAGTATATTCGATTAAGAATGTCCACGATTTAGCTTTCCCTGATTCCATATATACACATTTGATGTTGCCTTTTTTAAGATTTTTGCCGTTTTTTGCCTTTTCTACCTTTAAAAAAGTGATTATAGCATTTACAATTTTTTTTTTTTAGATTAAAAAATATACTCATGCCCATGCGGCTTATAGAAGCGCAGGGACCTCTTGCCAAATTGGTGTTGAAAAAATTCAAAGCCGTTTTCTCAGCAAACGTAGGCTTGGAGACAATAAGGGGTGTGGATAAAATTGTAACGGGCGAGGAAAATGCCCTTATTCTTGATAATATGAACGTTTCAAACGTTCCATATTTAAATTGGGCCCCACTTGTATCAACCTACGTCGAGCGCACATTTAGTAAATTCAAGGCTTTTCTTCGCGAAAATTTTATGAAAATGCTGCCAGAAAACTTCAAAATGCATCTTGTGGTTTAATGTTACTACAACTATACAGATTAAAGTTTTATGAATTAGAAACTCGAAAGGATAAAATAGTCAAAGATTAAAAGTAAAAATTTTTCATATAATGAAACTAGTTCATAGTTTTTCTCTTTTTACTTTTAATATAAACATTTCTAAAATAAATATATTTTTTGATTGTTCTTCGTATTTTCTGTCTTTTTTTAGTGCCTTATTTTGCTTTTTTTGCAATACCTTTTTTTTGCCTTTTCCTGCCTTTTTCGCTATTTTGTTTTGCCTTTTTTTGCCTTTTTCCCAATACCTAGTGCCTTTTCCTGCCTTTTTCGCTATTTTATTTTGCCTTTTCCAGCCTATTTCGTTACTTTATTTTGCCTTTTTTATAGGTTTTCAGGTCCTAAAAATCCGTTCCCTGATAATAATAGATTGGCGCTTACACATATGTAAGTGTTTGACCGAGCTTCTCCTCCAATTTGTGGTGTGTTGTCACACAAAGGGGAGGGACCTACAGTTTTACGCCGACTCCGAACGGCGATTGTATTTTTATGAGAAGCTGTTTTTCATGGCAGAAATACACTCGGAGGTTTGCCATTGCCTGCCGCGGGACGACCGCTGTTAAAAAAACCTTTTCCATATTTTTTTGCGATGTTGCTTTGACACAAAATATAGTCTTCAATTATTTTACCCCTTTCGTTTGCTACGTCCGAGCCCAATAATGGGCTCCACGCATTGAAATCTCCCACGAGCAGAACTGGTAAAGCTAAGTTGTGGCTAATCGAACACAAGTCGGTTGTTGAAAAGTTTTGGTGGGGAGGGATGTTTTGGTCTGATTATGCATACTTCGCATAACTTCGCACAACTTCGCATAAACTTCAAACTGTATTATCGTATACTTTGTATCTAATTTGTATGTATTCCATTACTCAGAAATTAGCAGAACTTTTAAAAACTTAGCGATCTGTTGAGCTTAGATTTTACTTCACATTTTCTTAAGTTACATTTTTATTGGACTGGTACAAATGGTTGTGCGAAGTTATGCAAAGTATGCATAATCAGACCCTACGCGTTGATGACTGTGATCGAAAATTCACAAGCTACTTCAATTCCAATTGTAGCAATTGTTGCACTGATTGGTATAATTTTTTATGGGGGATTTGTTTTCTTATGAGTACTGCAATGTCCTGTTTGGCTGATTTATTTATAGGTAGATTATCAAAATAGTCTGTGTATCCTTTGGGTTGGAATGTTTTGTTGTATTTATAGGAAAAATGTGTTTTTTGTATACATATAATGTCAGGGTTTATGTCTTTTATTAGTAGTTGGAGTTCGATGAAGTTATTGGTGTAACCTTTCATATTCCACGGTAGTATTTTCATACTGAGCGGAAGAGAAAAGGGCAGTTGCTTTGGTTTTAACTAAGAGAGAGATTTCATATGTCTTCATCTTTCATGTCATATTCGTCTTGATTGCTTGGTCTTAGGTCTGTATTATCGCTTGAAGAAGTACATGTGTTGACTACATTATTGGATTTGTTGTTTTGAATATTGTTTGCTGGAAGCCAGTTTAAGAGAGGGTTAAAAGAGTAATAAAATTGAATGGGAGAAGTGGATTCGGTCGCAGTGGTGAGTTTAGATGAATGATCTGTATGGAGGCTGTGTACATTATCAGTAGTTACATTCAAGAGTTGTGATCTTGAGAAGGCCAATTTGGGTGTGATTGTGGTGGGTTTGTCTCCTGAAGGTATTGTTGTAGCTGTTGGTGTGTGTTTAGTAAGGTTTGTAAAGTTGTTTTAGGGCTTGCTAGTTCCGAAGCGTACGTTCCATGTGGGATAGAAGAACCAGTTTGCGACTTATGTATTTGCCTTGCTTCTCGCATTGAACATTTTTTTGTTGTTTTGATTTTTAGTATTTCCTTTTGTTGTATAAATTTAGTGCAGTCTTTGGAGGATGCGGGATGTTTTTCAGCACAGTTTGCGCAATGGGTGCGAATGCAGTCTTTTGGGGAGAGAGGTACCACGTTAACGTATGCTACATCATTATTGCATCGCTTAGCAGTATGTCCCAATAACTGGCAGTTTTTACAGCGCATGGGATTTGCAATATATTCCCTCACTTTCACAGAATGCCATGAAATGTCTTGTTTGTCCGGAAGATGGTAAAGGTCAAAGGAGAGGAGAATCACCCCGCTGGGATGGGGATTACCTTCACTAAATTTGGGGAATTTGAATGCCGAAACCACACCTTGGGATCTCAATTCTTGGACGATTTCCTCTTAAGGGACTTTGTTTAGATATGGAGCATATATTGTGCCTTTGGTGAAGTTAAGTGTGTTGTGCAGAGTGCATTTGATTTTACAATGCCCAAAAAGCTCCTTGGCTGATAGAAATTTGTCAGCTACCGTTTTATCTTGTGCAAGTAACAACAAATTACCATCGCAGAGTTCGGTTATGGAAATTACTTGTTTGCTAATGAGATGCAGCGAACGCTGCACAGCAAAACAGGAGAATTCTGAAATAGGTTTTTTGTCATCAATAGAAGCAACTACCACAAACCTGGGATTGGGCAACTACCACAAACCTGGGATTGACTCGCAACACGTTTTTTTTCTTTTCGGGGCTGGTTGCAAATATAGCTAAC